TATTATTCACGAAAATTGACTCTTGCCTCCATGCAATAAATTAAAACCCCCCGCCCCTGCATCTAAGTATTAATATCGCTAATAAATAATGGCCAAGATAGGTAATGTTGCGGTGTGACACTGAGTAAATAAATAATTAACGATACGTATCTATTAATTATTAACTGAAGGTTGAATTTAACAAACTAAAATAGCGACAGACGGAAAAATTGTATTGTCAACGCCACGTTGGTGCTATGGCATTGGGACGCAAGACGCCGAGACAGTAGGATGCGTACATTGGACCGCAAACATTAGGACGCAGACATTGCGACGTGGACAATGGGGAGCGAATATTAGGACGCAGACATTGCGACGTGGACAATAGGGAGCGAATATTAGGACGTAGACATTGAGACGGGCGATGATTGCAACTGCCTTGTTGGTACTGAAATCAGAAAAAGATAATATAGTAGATAATATACATTTGGAAAAAATAGTGTCACAATGGGTAGGGTTAAAATGCCATCGTTTAATATTGTACGTGTATATTTTGAATTGATTGAAGGTGGCATTTTTAGTACACTGTAAAAAGTTTCGTGTAAAAATCAACACGGAAAGTGGTCGATATACGACCACACGAGGAATGGTAGACTGTACCATATCCATTTTGGTAAAGTCTACCAAATGATAGTGGTAAAATTTTACCCCGTGTTGGAGTAGGTATTTTCACACGAAGATGTGTAAACTTTACACACAGTTTTCGTTAAAATCACGGTCAAGGTAACCATTTGCGGTGTAGAAATTTCTACGAATTGTCGTGTTACTATACCCGCACTCCAGTGTTTCTTTCTTCTGAATATAGAGGAGGGTGGAGGGAAGTGAGCGAAAACGTTTGCTACTAGAACTTTTTAAATAAACTTATTTATTTAAACAAATATGTATATATATAGTACATATACATAGACAATATAAAACAACCGAAATACATATAACTAATTTATATACAGTGAATTTTTTTTAAATGCGAACATAGGAGTTTGTATGCAATGTAATTTCCCTATGTTCGATTTAAAAAAAAACACATCAATCTATTGAGTAGTTCAAATGAGTTGTAGATACAATTGACAGCTGTCACATTTTTAAAAATACCGCCGTCCAATTTAATTACGAAATCGGTTAAGTTATTGCTTAGAATGTCAAGGAGGACACTTCGAACATTTATTGTAATTGTTTTCGGTATTTATTTTCTTATTTTCTTCATTTATGTATTGAATAGATCAAATTAGTAGAATACCAGGTGCACATGACCTACAAATAATTGAAGGTTGGTTCACAATGAATTGTGATGTCAGCGCGTGCCATGTGAAGTCAAGTTATCGTAAGTTTAAGAAAAATTTATCCTAAAGTTGCTATGGCCTCACATGGCTTAATTAAAAGAATCTTACCGAGTGCTCTTCATCATAAAGACTATGAGTTGCTGTTCATAGTCACACAAATTGCGCGTTTTGGGAATGTGAACCGCGCACATCTAATAGATTGATGTGTTTTTTTTAAATCGAACATAGGGAAATTACATTGCATGCAAACTCCTATGTTCGCATTTAAAAAAAACTCACTGTATGTACCATCACATCAACTAAACTGCACAGTATTTTTTAAAAAGCAAGATTTTATGAAACTTCAATTAATTAAATGGTGTATAATATTACCTTTAGCCGCAACTACATCATATGTACCTACTGTCCTCCATTAACCACTTCACAATGTTTTTGTAGTTAAATTTAATTGCGTTCATATTACTTTCACCACCGCACAATAAAATTTATTCAAAATTGAAATCTTATACAGATACTTAACTGCTTCTAAGGTATACTGCACTTGCTGCCTTATTTGAATGTATAGGTACAATGGCGTCATACAAGAGATGTGAACAACCGACTGAAGTAATAATGGTGACTAACTCAAAGTTGAGATAATTGCACAATATTGAGTCTATTTGCACAATCTGGTGTTAATCTAACGAAGAATCCGCGTATTTTTTACACTGACGAAAAAATTACACCACATTGAGTACCTTTACAAGTTACGGTGTAAGTCTTATAGAAATTCTACACAATTGCCTTTTACCAATCGTCTCACAGTAAGAAGGTGTAAATCTTACCAGATTTCGTGTAGCATTTTACACGAAAACAATATACACTTTGCATTTTCAGCTTTACACCGAAAAACTTTTAACAGTGTATATACACCCCCCTCACTCAGAGTCTCTGAATACGGTCCTGGTGCCACCACCGAAATCTTTGTAAAATCGAATAGTACATTAGCATGTCGAAGAAATGCACAATCCCTGCGAACATATTCTTCAATTTATTTCTGTCCAAAAGTACATAGGGTTAACTGAGAGGTACACATTTTCACGTCATTATGTGCCTACATTTTGAAACTATCAACAGATCAATATTCAGATATTGCAGGATTTTAATTGGATGGCTAATTATAATTTAATTTAATGACACATTCTCGCCCATACTTTGGGGATATCTAAATAATAATTAAATATTTTTATATAATGGCTGTCTATTAATTATGTTAACGAAACGAAAATACAACCGAGGTCGAATAGGTAACCTACCCAATATGTGAGGGTTATTTTAAAATCGTAAAAGATTTTCAAAACAATACGTTTAGCCTCTACTAATAAGTAGGTAGCTATAATTAGTTGACTCATAGCGAGCTTTTAGTTAATTGAAAAGTGCTAACAAAATGTATTACTCTTGAATCGGTAAGTATATGGCTTATTGCGTGTTTGTTTAGCAACGTGTAACTTTAAATGCAGTCTCTTGGAAATCAAAGCATTTAGGTATATCCGGTTCCGTTCTTATAAAATAGATAACTTCGTATAGGTACCTATATCTGTTTCCATAAAAAATGGCAACCTACATTTCGCAAAATGAAAAAGTATAGGTACTTCTTTATTTATCGGGCAAAGAGCTTTTCCGAGGATATGTGGTCACCACTAAGATGCGTTGCTCACGATCTTAGTGTATACGTGTGAAAGTGTCCAGAACCAGAACACTTGCCACACTCACAGAACTTGTCATTTTCTATATTGTTGGAAACTCCAAAACCTCCATTTCTGTAATCAATACTGCGATAATGATTTGCACATTCAAAAAACCAATGCTATAATAACGCAGATGTAGTATAAATAAACCAATTCTTTAATTTTAGTGTTATATTGAGTTTTCAATGGTGCTTTTGTCAGAAAACCACAAACACAATAAAAAAGGGAAGTGAAAGTGGAAATTATATATTTTTTTCACTACTAGCGTCTGATGACATGATTATTAAACTTTTTTCCACTTGTAAAGTAGGCTTTCTCGGCATTTGTTCAAAGTGGTTAATATTGTGGACATTATTAACTAGTAGTTAATAATGAGAACTGTCACATTGTCAGTTTTAGAAAACACAACCCGAAATTTCGCTCAATAAACGTTTAGACAAGTTCTCTAAAATGAATAATTGCCACCATCCGCCATTTCCAGAGAAATTACATACCTAAAATTATCACATTTTGATAAAAATCAAACGAAATTACTCTTTGAAAGTATCTCAATGACAGAACAAAATACGGCCTGTTTGACTTGTACTTCAACGTACTTGATTGACATGTTAAATTAATAAACAAAAAATTCTGTCCAACCGTTCACTTTCTTACCAATATAATATGTTAATTTAGAGAACTTCAAGTGCTAGTAGTGAAAAAAATAGTATATACCACGGTAGAGAAGTATATTATTGCCTTCGCACCATACACCCCTCGGCACAAGCGCCTCGGGATGTAATCTTGGTGCTCAGGCAATAATACTGTACTTCTCTACCTTGATATAATTGTATAATGTACTATTCTTGAACAGTACGAAAATGTTAGTTTGTCAAATTAAGGATTATATTTTTAAAAATAAGCGTGATGTGAGTTTTTTACAACACAAGCTCCTCCTAATATTTGTAGCACTAGAGGGACACTGATGTCAATTGAAATTAATCACTATATTTTTTGTTTTAGATCTGTAGGGGTGGGTACTGGGTAGCTATCCTTACCCGCATCTACATACTTCACTAAATAGTTTAATGGTCGGAAACATTTACTGAAAAATAAATGCTCCCATAAAATTCCATATCTATAATGGACCAGATCCAGCTTCGCAAACGACTCCTGCTTATTAAGGGAAAAGAGACTTTGAACTTCTAAGAGTAATTCCAATTTTTGTTGTATGTCAAAGACAGTAATCTGGTGGTTGAGAATCCAAGTTTTCGACCCCCCACCCCTTGTGTTTCCTCCGTACCACCCCTCAAACTGGTTGGTTCCTTAGTTTTTCAATTATAGCATTTTAATGGCTCACCTTAGAAAGCAATATTGCAAACTTTTTATTTAAAAAGCTTCAACGTTGCTTATATTTGGAAGAATTCTGAAATTTGTATGTTAACGAAATTGTATACTTAATCTCTATAACTAAGCGTCGTATGACAAAATATCTTGAACATATCGTGTCATACATCCCCCCAGCCTGCACCCCTATCAAAGGGGATGCATAATAATTCATCTTTGAAGCCCTAGTAGTAGTATATTTGAATCCTTGCGAGATTGCGCTTTCTAATATTTTGAAATCAAAACCCATCCATCTCGTACTCACTACTGGAAGGGATGAATATTTTAACGTTGTAGTGCTGATTGATGTGTTACTCAGAGAGTACATTTACATTTTTTAATCCTCTCGTTCCAGGTTAACCCTTTCCACTCCCTACTGAAATGAATGGTTTAACCCTCGGTTGATGTTCGGTTATACTTAAATAATGCCATTTCCGAATACAAGTTTTTATTTTTTTTATAATAAAAAAAACCCTATTTACCTTAATAGGGCGAATACAAGTTTCAAAAAAAAATTTACTATTCATGTTTATATAAAATAATGATAAGAAATCATTCGATCGCTGCTACCACATCTGCGTCGACTTCTAGAAGAAATAAAAATGACTGACATCTAAAATGTGTGATGACTGTAATTGCATTATTGTTCAAATTTATTCATCTATTCATCAAAGCAACATTAATAAAAAAAAGTACATACAATGTACAGGTTAACAATGACATTGAAACAACTAAAAATATACAGAGTGTTCTATTTTAAACAAAGTAATTTGTGTACACCGTAAAAATGGGACAGCCTCTACATTCAAAAACAACTTCTATAGATGCGCAACAATCAATGCTTGACATTTGCATAAAATGTTTTTTAGAGTTTTTTGCTCAAGGTGAAAAATCGATGTTGGCTGCACATTGTCGTCCGTCCGTCTATCCGTTCGTCTGCTACACGTACTACTTCTACACGACTGAACCGATATGGCCCATTTGAAAGGGCTTGGTGTAAGGACCCCGCGCCTACAGATATTTTTGGCACGATTACCCTGGGTATTTTTTAGTCAAAAATTTGGGTTATCGCATTTACAATGCTAACTTTTTTATTTATGAAAATATTTAAATGAAACTGTATATTTAAGCACTACAAATATAAGTAAAACTAGCGAACTACATGTTGTATAAGAGCTTACTTTAGTAAAGTACGTTTTCAAGAGTTTTCACCATATGATAGCTGATACGAGTATTAACCAGGCAAGGAACTAAGTTTCGTACCGCCTATGGTGGCCGAAAAACCACCAGTTAGCGACATTTTCAACGATATTACCATTGGATTCTGAGTGACAACTATATAAATTGATCGCTATAATTATTGCCAAGCATAATTTGCACGAGATACTGGCATCACTATCTTTAATCTCCAAGCTCTGCACTGATAACATCAGATTCCCTTAAATACTTTCCCAGTCGATATCGCGCAAAAATGTGATAATTGCAATCAAAGGCCACTATTCATTTGCGATAAGCCATATCGAAACTTCTCACATTTTATAATTACACCTTGTAATTGTTATACGTAAGTAGTCAAAGGAAATTTAAATAGTGAATAGAAAAAGCAAAACCCAACTTTAGGTAAGAAAACAAAAAGATCAGCGTAATGTTCATCTTTGATATACCAAAGCTCAAATATTCCTCATAGTTTGCCAAATACATTAACTTGAAAATGTTGTAGGTAGTGTCCTGTAATATGGATTTGGGTCTTTATAAAACAGTTCAACCAAATCCAAGAGAAGATGCGAGCATTTTTTCAATTGCGACTATGTGGTGAGTATTTAATATGGTTTGGGTAAATTTTAGTCGATGTTATAATAATCCACTTAAGTTGTAACATGTGATAGCAATGTCAAAAATTGGAAAGATCGGGCGCTGGCGTTGAAGATAATTTTTTTGCCAGTTTAGGTAGCCCATTTGATCTTCTTGGAACTGAGTTACATTTCATTGGGAGCATGAGTTATCTGAGCTGTGACTTGCAGAAATTGGATACTCGCATCTCATCGCCACTATCCCTATAGTAACTCATCTCTATTTTTGATATACTTAGTCGATAAGATTGTTTAAACCATAAACCTTTCTATATTCTAATTGTAAACTACCGTTGTTTTCTTCTGCTAAATTGGTTATCAATCTAGCTTCCATGAGTACTCGATAATAACGCACATAACTTGAAGCATTGATGTTACCATTTCTTAACTTATCACAGGTATACAATACCAACATTCCTCAAGGGACGCAAGAGAGACCTGGAAGTATCCGACTTGCATCAAACTTACTCAAAGCATAAATCAAAGCTACTTGGTGATAAAATCGAAGCAATATGGTTAAAGGAGCAAGCATACGCCTTAAAGTCGAAGAAACAACCCTCCCTCAAGCGAGTGCTAATCAAAATGTTTGGGTTTGACTTTGTGCTCCTTTTTATATTTTGCCTTGTGATGGAATTTGCGGGCAGGTGAGTAGTACGAACGATATCGTCGGATTATTAAAGATGGCCGCTTTAGAACACTACAACCCTTACTGCTGGGACAATTGGTTGATTACTATAAGCCCGGGCAAACCTCCATGACAAAAACCGAAGCCTATGGATTTGCTGGCGGAGTCGTAGCATGTTCACTGCTGCAAGTCTTGATAACTACGCCGTACATGACGGCGCTTTTCCATATCGGGATGAAAATGAGGGTCGCCTGTTGCTCGCTGCTTTATCGAAAAGCGTTAAAATTGAGCCAATCCGCTCTTGGGGAGACTACTATTGGCCAAATGGTAAACTTATTGTCGAATGACGTTAACAGATTTGATACTTCAATCATCTTCGCCCAATACCTGGTAGTGGCCCCACTACAAGTTATAGTAGCAACTTACTTTATGTACCAAGAGGTTGGCATTTCGGCTGTAATAGGTGTCGTCGTTTTGTTGCTGTTTGTACCTTTACAGTGTAAGTAACTATTGACGTCATATAAGTGTTTTAATTAATATTGTTTGATATTTACAGATTGTTTAGCGAGACTTATTGCAAAATTTAGGTACAAAACTGCCTATAAGACCGATGAAAGGGTACGTTTAATGAATGAGGTCGTTTCTGGTATACAGGTCATTAAAATGTACACATGGGAGAAACCATTTGCCAAATTCGTCGCGCTGGCTCGCAGGTACGGCTACAATATTTAATAAGACGGTAATGACACAGACTTTTCAGGGCGGAAATCAAATTTATACGAGGAGTTTCCTTTCTGCGTGGTATCATTATGTCGTTCTTCATATTTTCGAGCCAAGTATGTCTCTTCGTTACAATTTTGGCTTACATATACTTTGGGGAACAAATAACAGCAAAGAAGGTTTTCGTGCTCACCGCCTTTTATAACGTCATACGTTTAAATATGTGTAACCTTTTCGCGCAAGCTGTGGCCCAAGTGTCCGAGGCTAAAGTCTCAATTAAACGTCTCAATGAGTTTTTGGTACGTGACGAAAAACCACCAACGCCTTTACATGTAAGCAAAAAAGCCAAACAGAACGGAAACGCGAACGAATTTTCAACTGAGGATGAATCCAATTATGCAATCGAGGTGTGTAACGGTGAAGCGAAATGGAACGATTCATACAGCGAAAGTACGTTTGAAAATCTCAACATCAAAATAAAACCAGGTTCTGTTGTTGCTGTAATTGGACCAGTTGGAAGTGGTAAAAGCAGCTTACTGCAGTTGATCTTAAAGGAGCTGCCTTTAAGGAAAGGGAGCCTAAAGGTGGACGGAAGAGTTAGTTATGCATCTCAAGAGCCTTGGATTTTCACGGGAAGCGTCCGTCAAAATATACTGTTCAACAAAACTTACCATAAATTTCGTTACAAGCATGTCGTGAATAAGTGCTCTCTAATACGCGACTTTACACTTCTTGCAAACGGCGACAAAACGGTAGTAGGTGACCGGGGGGTGTCTCTAAGCGGTGGACAACGTGCGAGAATAAATCTGGCTCGAGCTATTTATGAAGAGGCAGACATTTACTTGTTAGACGATCCACTTTCAGCGGTCGACACGCATGTTGGAAAAGACTTATTCGATAAATGCATCAATGGATACTTGAAAGGGAAGACCGTGCTTCTCGTAACCCATCAATTGCAATTTCTGAAAGATGTCGATAGTATAATTATTCTCGAAAATGGAACCGTGAAGGCACAAGGAACTTTTGACGAACTGCAAGAGTCCGGTTTAGATTTTGCCAAGCTACTAAAACGTGATGATGAGAAAGAAGAGGAAACAGAAGAACTGGCACGTCCGGCTTTTATAAATAGATCAAATTCAATCATGAGCGTCATATCGACCGAAAACCAAGATTTCGCAACACGCACCGAAGAAATTACTAAAGGAACAGTTTCTTTGGATATTTACAAATCTTACATCAGTGCTGGTGCAAACTGGTTCTTTATTATATGCGTTATTGGTTTATTCCTAGCTACACAACTGTCGTCCAGCTTCGGAGACGTTTTCATATCAAAATGGTAAGCCCTTCTATTCCCTTTTTAAATGTTACGTGAATAAGATGTCATTTTAGGGTAACGGCGGAAGAAGGTCGTTTAACTAATGCCACGACTTCGCAGACACGCGAGCCTGACGACTTCTGGAGCTTTTCCACCGAAACCTATGTATACACCTATAGTGGTATAACGGTTGCGACAGTCGTTTTAACACTGACACGTTCTATGTCTTACTTTACCGCCTGTATGAGATCTTCGGTTAATTTACACGATAACATGTTCAATAGTATTATTAGGGGGACAATGAGGTTCTTCAATACAAACCCTTCTGGACGGATTCTCAATCGTTTCGCAAAGGATATGGGCGCTATTGACGAATTACTACCAACTGCGATGCTTGATTATGTTCAGCTTTCCCTAATGGTGTTGGGAATTATTGGTATTATCTCGTCGGTTAATCCTTGGCTTTTGATACCCACTGTAGTAATAGGGGTCATATTTTACTTTATTAGGAAGTTATATTTGACCATAAGTAGAAGTGTAAAACGCTTAGAAGGTATCAGTAAGTATCGCACTCGTTTATAGGGCCCGCGATATTTACTAAATGTTACAGCTAGAAGTCCGGTTTTTGGTCACCTGAATGCTACACTTCAAGGACTAACAACCATCCGTTCCATTAGGGCAGAATCTACTTTGATTGAGGAATTCGATAACCTTCAAGACTTACACAGTGTGGCATGGTTTCTCTTTATATCGACATCTCGAGCCTTCGCTTACTGGTTGGACCTGATCTGTGTGATTTACATCTGTTTAGTAACGTTCAGCTTTCTGATTATGGACGACTGTGCGTACCTTCATATTATACCCCTTCAAAATAATCAAACATGCGTTTTACAGCCATTTCCGGAGGAAACGTCGGTTTGGCGATCACTCAATCTTTGGGATTAGTGGGAATTTTTCAATGGACCATTAGACAATCGGCCGAAATGGAAAACCAAATGACAGCAGTAGAGCGAGTGTTAGAATACAACAAAATAGAGCACGAGAGAACGGTTAAAAGTGAGAAGCTGCCGGAGTCCTGGCCCGAAAAAGGCGAAGTGAAATTTGTCGACGTATATTTGAATTACTTCCTCGAGGACCCACCGGTGCTTAAACACTTATCCTTCCATATCAAACCCTTGGAAAAGGTTGGGATAGTTGGTAGGACTGGAGCGGGAAAGTCTTCACTTATTAACGCCCTGTTTCAACTTACTAATACCGAAGGACAGATTTTGATTGACGGTATTGACATAGGAAAAATGAAACTGCACGATTTAAGGGCAAAAATATCGATTATCCCTCAGGAACCCGTGCTCTTTTCGGGTAATATGAGAAAAAATTTGGACCCATTTGACGAGTACTCGGATGAGGCCTTATGGAAGGCGCTGGAAGATGTGGAACTGAAGAGTGCGATTGCAGAGCTTAATTTAGGTACATATAATACGTGGTGGAAGAATCACACCTTATCATGTGAATTTTAGGTTTAAATTCCGTTGTGACCGAAGGTGGTTCCAATTACAGCGTAGGTCAGCGGCAGCTAATCTGCTTAGCAAGAGCCATTTTGAGAAATAACAAGGTGCTGATATTAGACGAAGCAACCGCAAATGTTGATCCTCAAACCGACGCACTTATACAGAAAACGATAAGAAAGCAATTTTCCCAATGTACTGTACTTACAATAGCTCATCGATTAAACACCGTCATGGATTCTGATAAGATTCTAGTGATGGATGCCGGAACTGCGGTTCAATTTGATCACCCCTACACACTGTTGCAGAATGAAAAGGGGATATTTTACGGTATGGTTTTGCAAACTGGACCGGCAATGACGGAAACTCTAACCAAAGTGGCCAAAGAGGTATGTTACGTAAATTAATGCTTCAAATATTAAGACACGCAATTTTTAGAGTTATGAAAGGACTTTAACCAACGAATCAAATTAATTGCAAGGTAACGAAGACTGTTTTTAGTGTAGTGTCGGATAATCGCAAATACCTGTGTTAAGTCGTATGTCTAAGTTATTACATATAGCTATGTCTTTTTTATTTATAACTATTTATACCAGCACGAATCTGATTTTGCAAAAATAGATTACCATTTACCTACCTTCCCGGTATATAGTAACTCTCATCGGATTATAGTTCAATAGCATAAATGGTGAAACATTTGTGTCAATTGAACTTGTAAAAGTTTCCTTAAAAGAATTGAACTTGACTCATGTGAAATTGGCCTCGCCCACATGAAATAATTTGACAAAATTGTGTCGACAGTTAGTGCTACTTACTACGTTGGTGCTCAAAGCCTATCATTAGTGGTGATACATAATATGAGTACGGGGAGGGCCCAACTTCACACCCAACTTTTATTTATCGAAATAACGAACGCACACGGCGTTAGTGCTATGTTAGTGCTATTAAATGCCAGACAAACAGTCTCTCAAATTCTTTCGCTGTTCCTAAAAAAGTCAAGTGTGAAGTGTGCGCAGTAGGATCTTTGGCTATAGCACAGATTTAAATATTGTGGCTATAGATAGCACAGAAATCTGTACCTATAGTTAATACACAAAACGTGTATTTTTACCAAATTTCAGATTAATTTCAATTTCTAGTAAGAAATTATAGCTGACGTGTATTGATACAAAGGCGAACTGGAAGAACACTTTTTCTTATCATTTTTGTACGCAAGAATACACCTGCAAAATTTCAGGATAATCGGTTCATCCGTTCTCTTTTAAATCGATGGATGGATCTTCAATTGCGTAACTTACAACTAGAATCCAAAACAATTCGTACTTTTTCGATCAGACTTCTCAATCAAAAGTTATAGACTAGAAACCAATTTCGAAAAAAAATTCAAAGGGCTGTAACTTTTGAACTAGTAGCCCAATCTTGGAACTGTTTGAAATTATGGATTCTACAGGCCACATTCTATAAGAAAATTTTTTTTCCGGGTCGATCTGAGACAATTTTTTTTTCGGGGCTCAAAAAAAAGCAGTGTATAACCTTCCTTTTTTACCAAAAATCGACTACACCAAAATTTCTCGGGAAAACACTTTTTCTTATTAATTTTGGGGCGTAGAATCCAAAACATTTCGTACTTTTTCGATTAGACTTCTCAATCAAAAGTTATAGACTAGAAACCAATTTCGAAAGAAAATTCAAAGGGCTGTAACTTTTGAACTAGTAGCCCAATCTTGAAACTGTTTGAAATTATGGATTCTACAGGCCACATTCTATAAGAAAATTTTTTTTCCGGGTCGATCTGAGACAATTTTTTTTTCGGGACTCAAAAAAAGGCAGTGTATAAACCTTCCTTTTTTACCAAAAAATCGACTACACCAAAATTTCTCGGAAAAACACTTTTTCTGATTAATTTGGGTGCGTAGAATCCAAATCAATTCGTACTTTTTCGATCAGACTTCTCAATCAAAAGTTATAGACTAGAAACCAATTTCGAAAAAAAAATTCAAAGGGCTGTAACTTTTGAACTAGTAGCCCAATCTTGGAACTGTTTGAAATTATGGATTCTACAGGCCACATTCTATAAGAAAATTTTTTCCGGGTCGATCTGAGACAATTTTTTTTTCGGGGCTCAAAAAAAGGCAGTGTATAACCTTCCTTTTTTACCAAAAATCGACTACACCAAAATTTCTCAGGAAAACACTTTTTCTTATTAATTTTGGTGCGTAGAATCCAAAACAATTCGTACTTTTTCGATCAGACTTCTCAATCAAAAGTTGTAGACTAGAAACCAATTTCGAAAGAAAATTCAAAGGACTGTAACTTTTGAACTAGTAGCCCAATCTTGGAACTGTTTGAAATTATGGATTCTACAGGCCACATTCTATAAGAAAATTTTTTTCCCGGGTCGATCTGAGACAATTTTTTCTTCGGGCCTCAAAAAAAGGCAGTGTATAACCTTCCTTTTTTACCAAAAATCGACTGCACCAAAATTTCTCCGGAAAACACTTTTTCTTATTAATTTTGGTGCGTAGAATCCAAAACAATTCGTACTTTTTCGATCAGACTTCTCAATCAAAAGTTATAGACTAGAAAACCAATTTCGAAAGAAAATTCAAAGGGCTGTAACTTTTGAACTAGTAGCCCAATCTTGGAACTGTTTGAAATTATGGATTCTACAGGCCGCGTTCTATAAGAAAAATTTTTTTCCGGGTCGATCTGAGGCAATTTTTTTTTCGGGACTCAAAAAAAGGCAGTGTATAACCTTCCTTTTTACCAAAAATCGACTGCACCAAAATTTCTCAGGAAGACACTTCTTATTAATTTTGGTGCGTAGAATCCAAAACAATTCGTACTTTTTCGATCAGACTTCTCAATCAAAAGTTATAGACTAGAAACCAATTTCGAAAAAAAATTCAAAGGGCTGTAACTTTGAACCAATCTTGGAACTGCTTGAAATTATGGTTTCTACAGGCCACATTTTTAATTGTACTTTTATAGAATTCGGAATATGAGAGAGTAGAACATAAAAAAATGCACAGCAGAAAATTTAAAAAACCATAACATTGAACAAAATTTCCTAATTACGGCACAGTGGCAGAAGGCTCGCTAGGTAAAAAACCGTTTGAGATCGACTATGGGTCAAGATCGTTAGATCAATCTCGGTACATTAGCTCTTGAAGCTCAACTTGCTAGAGAAATTAATTTTGAGCGAGTGATATTAATTTTTGCTAATAAGAAAATCCGCAGAGTCAAATTGTAATATGGTTATTTGAATTCTAACAATTCATAATAAATTATGAAAATTACTGTGTCTGTATGAAAATTATTCAAATGTTCTCGTTTCAAATCTAGGTAGTCAAGATTGAAAATGTCTAGTTTCTAGTTAAGGGTGATGGACAACAAAAATTTCAATTATAGGGGCCCGGTCAAAAAATATTCCCGGGGCCCGTCGAGGCTAACGGCGGCCCTGCTTTTTGCAATTAAAATACAAAATATACAACGATTCGTGACAAGTTATATAACATAATTGAATAAAACATTGAATAAAACACTATTTTTGTTCAATGATAACATAAAATTGATAAAATTGCATGGCCGGAAATTTTACTTTGTTTTACTCGTCATCGAGTACGTCACAAGTGTATACACATCAATGTAGTTGTTAAATGAATAGATGATTCAGTTAAATGCTATCGTTGTGATTGTCGAGTTCTTATTGTTACGTGCTAATTCCGGAAAAAGGTATGAATTTGCATGTTTCAAACGGATTTTTTTAAACTTTAGGAGTGTGTTACATCTGTTATTTTCAAAATACCAAAATAGGTACCTACTGCACCTCACTAAACGACATCTCATCTAAATGCTTATACTGAAAATAGCCATTGACATCGAGTAATTAACTTAATTTCCTCAATTCATAAAGCTTTTAATTTTCCAATCGAGTGCAATCCACTCTAATCACTCTCGGGCCTCGTATTTGTCTTTTTCGCGTGGACCGGGTTTTTAAGGGGCGGTTATCGGTTGACCATGAACGTGCTCTATGGGGTGGCTGTGATCAAACTAACAAATTTTCAAAAAGTTCAAGATATGAACGCGCTTTCTAAATAGGCAATACGCCAAATCTGAAAGTTTTGCTTTGCAGTAGCGGAATTATGATATTTTTCTGACACATTTTGGATGTAGAGAGTTCCGGGAGTTTCATCGTTTACTCTTGGTACTAATACTTGCATATTTTTAAAAATTGGTAAATTCCAAAGATTAATGCCAGAACGTGTAACCATAAATCGTTCATGTTGTGACGTTAAGTAATTTTAATTGTGGGTATTTTTACTAACAATAGAGGAATTTGTTTAAACAATAGTCACAAAATAACAAGTATTATTTATGTAATTTACACTTACCTGCTTACGTAATATATCTTCGGATTTATAGTGCCGTAGACTTTGAGAAAACTAAAACGGCAATCGGTAAATTATATTCAAATAGAATTAAATATTTAGTGTTGGTACTTTATTGTTATTGACATGAAAACCTTAATAAATGACTTGGGATTTAACTTTCAATATATAAATATGGCTTCCACTATACTAGATGCTAGATGTTATATTAACGTTGCCTTATAGGTACTCGTAAATTATCAACTTGTGAGAATAAATCCTGTTGCAATAATTATGTCGGTTCTCATATCGGTATTTTCCATTGCACTATTCTTTGTTTAAAATTGGAGAGAAGTATACATTTGTCCAAACACTTATTTAATTACACTATAAAAATCGCACTTAATTTTAAAATTTACTTGTGCATTTATCTAAAATCATACTTTCTACGTATATATTGTACAAATTATGTTCTATACGCATTATTTTTTATTACCTTGGCTACCCAAGCAGGAGTATAACTATTACTAATTTCCCCAATTTCCTTTCAACTACTTATTAACATTTCCGAATCCACAATTAAAACTAAGTCTCCAACTTTTACGTTTCGCTCTTAATTCTTTATTTGTGATCCACTTTGTCCTTCGCGTTATAGTTGGAGTGTACTATATTTTACCCATCTACTCCAAAATTTATTTGCTAATTCCTTCACATTTCTCCATTGTCATTTTCTTCGCTAATGACGTTCCGTGGTCTTAGGCTCCCAATTCTGATGCCCTGTGGCGTGCGTGCGTATTTATTGTTAGCTCCCATAGTAGGGAACCACCGTCATTTTTTCGATGATTTTTCATTACCTAATACCGTATATTAAGGGTTGATGCATAAAACTTGATAATTCATATTTCAATTATTCGCCCCAAAATAAATTTGGTGTCATGTGTAAAATTTTAAAACAATTTGGAGAACTTCCAAAGTAATTCCCAACCGGTGAGGGGATAAAAGGCTTCCAGGCGGGTACAACGGTGATTTCGTATCAAAGACGGCTAGTGAGGAATACGTTCAGGGAACGATCACTGGAAGAGGAGTTCGGAGAGCCAATACGGAAAATGAACGGAACGTTTACAATATACGCGTGGAAAAATTAGGCGTGTATTGAAATCGAAGGAGTCGAATCAGCAACCGTACGGTAATACAAAATTTAAAT